ATTAGCAGACGTTAGGCCATACCTAAATAGATTCTCTTCTTTTACCGTTTCCTCTTCGATGCCAATAAAAACGAGGAAACTAACTTGTTCTAATTACGATGCTTATCCTGTATAATAAGCAACAGGATCGTTAAAAGTATCTGATAAAATTTCATGCCGTGTTTGCAATTTGTTTAACGATCTAAGTAATTAGCCAACAATTTTCTACTCGTTTAGAGCCACTGCTAATTGCAGCCTCCATCGATACAAAATATTTGGTAGGAAATTAGACATTATCGGCGAAAACGAAGGAGAAAAAACGCCAAGATTGTACGGAATAGTTCTAATCGTAAAATTAAGCAAAAGCAAACTGGCTATCCTGCGGATAACTGTTAAAAGAAACTAGGCCGTCGTATTGGCGATCGTTTCGAAAGATACTCCACAAAATGTAAAATATATATTTATCGCAGTACGTAATGAAAGTAAGTAATCAATCCATGGTGAATATAATAAAACGATACTTATGAACTAGAGATTAAATTTATGAAATAACATACATCCGTTTGCTGGATAAAGAATACTTAAGTTAATCGAATGTTTAAATAATGCTTAAATAAATTGATAAAAAAAACAACTGGCATTAATCCTCTGTATCTAAGCTAAACCACAATTATCTATCACGAGGAATATTGCAAAACAGATAAAGCGCAGTTCTTACGATCTTTCTTTCTCCCTTTATTCTATAGTAAACGGTATTCCTTTCGCAGACGAATAATTATATTTAATAATCCAGAGATCCAGAAGATCTGAAGCGCCGATAAAGCTCGAATTACATTTAATGCAAAATGAAATTTAATTAACCGCGATAAAAATATAATTGAGGTCTACTTCGTGTTCGTTGAGAATTTTTACCAAGGCTTGGGATTTCTGTATGAATTGAATCTCAGGTAGAGTTAATTCAAATCTGTTCTGTTGGTTCGATGAACTTGCTCGTGACAGAAACGACACAAAATAACGCGTTGTACATCGATTCGTTGAAATTTCAGAAATTTCTTGGAAAGAATCTTAAGAATTCGAATTATCTTGTAATTTCAAGCTATATTTCCTCCATTAAAACGTGCTTTCGAAAACTGTCGAAAAATATATTAAAAGATATCAGACTAGCGTATACAACAACGACGATCCGAACAACTTTTCCCTTGTTCCTTCTCTACTTTCCTGCTCCGAAGAATCTCTTTCTCCGTCGACAATCTCGCGTTTGATTCGCGATACATTCGAAGCTCGAAATTCCTCGACGAAGCAACACTTTCTTTCTGTGCTGTCGCTCCGTTTATTCATAGATTATCTAACGTAGCGATACGTACTATGCAGCATTGTGAATCAACGTGCAGCAGCGATAGTACAGTGAAAGTAGACGGGCCAAGAGAACCATAAGTCACCTGCCTTCGAGTTCGACGAGTCTCCTCCTTCACGATCGTTAATTACTTATGTAAATACCATCGCGAGGTGCGATAATTATTTATCCCTCGTTGACGTTCAATACGCCTCTCGATTCAACGTGTTTTCTTCTTACGAAACGATCTAACGATGTAATTTATGAAAATTTTAGGCTTAAAGAACATCGAGTCTCGATTCTAGCTTTTCCTCTTCAGCGACAGGATTATGCAGTGTTATGCGCATTAATTAAAATATTCTTTGCCTATTATTGTCTATTATTGGACCGGTTATTGGCTCGTTCGTGATTTCTGTGTCAAGCCGTAGCGCCATGCCAAAGAAAAGTCGATGAGAACATCTCGGAAAGAGATCGATGCGTCCTATATCTTCCTAAAAACGTCCCGTTTTTATCTGTCGGATAAGTTAGCTTTTCAAACCAGCTTGATAAGTCATCGATCGTGGTACATCCTTGGTAAATCACAGTATATCTCTTACCGTTATTTGAATATGAATTTGGATAGAACTATGGCGTTTCGACCATAAACCGTACTCACTACGATAACTCGATAGTAGTTAGATAGAAGTGCAGAATGGGAGTGGAGGACGTATGCGACCGATATACGTGGACAGATAACCGGGTTATTAAATCTTCTTTCGACCGATCTATCCATCGATCTCTTGAGGTTCCTTTCTTAAAAATAGCTCTAAACATGGCAAATTATAGCGTATTCCACATATTCCATATATTTCAGTATATTTACAAATCTGATAAAGATTTGATTTATAACAGCGGTATATACCTGCGACTGATTAGTTAAAAATTGAAATGCACGATGTGTCAATGAAAACTCATTGCAAATAACCGAACAAAGACTAAGTGGTTCGCCAACTTTCGTTTATCTTGTTTATGCAGACGATGTAACGATCGTCGATTTGTTTGATCGCATGGTTTTTCGATTATCTGTTCGAGCAAGATTGACTTGTTGCTGGAACTCGTTAAATATATTGACTCTTTAAATCTGCGCGGCGAAGAACTTCTCGGAGAAACATGACCCGTGGGAGAAAGTGCTAGAATTTGTCAGGCAAGTGTCTCATCAGCAGAGAACTTTCCTTACGAGTGAGCGAGAAATTATTGTCCCGGGATGAAATTACTTTTACGATCCATCCGATACGTACTTTTTTCGTTACAATTCGACAATTTTCTCGTTCGTTTATTTAATTTTTTAATCCTAATAAAAACTGATAAATTTTCATTCGTTGTTAAAATTCTATCGAAAACGTTCGATCGAACGAGTTGCTGCTACTAATAATAACGTTACGCTCGATAAAACAGAGTCGAAAGTTAAAGCAGAGCATAACGTCTGTAGTAATTGGGGTGACAAGAACGCGAGTAATCTCGGGGTTGCAAAGTAGAATTGTACAAAGTGACCACGCGACGCAGCGCGCCCATAAATGGCGCGGCCGGTGGTCCATGGTCGCGAGCAACCCCACCACGATGATGGTCGGGTCCAACGAGGCTTCTCCAAAAATAGGACGACGACAACATCAACGACGATAGACCGACGAAGTTCCCGGTGCCGTGACGAACTTCACGCCGTCTGTTTCCCGACAATAGATGCCACGAAGGTTGTTGCAACTTGTCAATGACGCTTTATCGTGTCCACGCGAAGCCAACTGATTTTTCAAATCAACATGTTCTATACCAGCGAAAACTAAAAGTCTTTACGTTTAAAACGGTTCGTCGTTCTAAAGTTTGCAGTATCAACTTTAATATCGTTAACTTTGTTACACTGTCGCATAGCGACATAGCTTAAAGCTCAAAGACTATTTTACTTGAAAATTGTAAAACAAAAAAGATTCGTTCATCGGTAAATGATCGAATTATGGGTAATTTTCCGTCTCGAACTTTCATTTCCTGAAAATTTATTTTTCCCGGTCATTGTTTATAGCGAAACAATCGCAAGAAGAGAATTCACGTGGGCAGAGCAAGCGTGTTTTCACCCGCGCTGAAAAATCCGCGAACGGAAGAGGTTGGGCAGGTAAGAAAGTTCCTCTTCGTCCAGTCCTGCATAAAACAATTGCGATACCGACCAATTAAGCCACGGCCCACGCTTCATTTTTCTTTCCATTCAGTTCGATCCTCTTCCGCGTCGATAGCATCTCGGTTGCGCTTCGATTCTTCTTTTCCAGCCTCCTGTCTCCGTTGACAAACGATTTTTCTTCGCCCAGATTCTGCGATCTATTCTAACAATAGGCATTTAACCATTATAAAGCTTCGCAAACATTTTACACTATTTTTTCTGCTTTCTTTTTTCAATGATGGATTGCACCATCAGAAATATCGTTGCAGTAATTTTATATAGAATTTTTATCAAACTGGCATTATCATTTCTGTTTAGTCGTAAAAGCATCCATAATCGACTTGCCAAATCTATAAGGTATTTCTTTTCCAGACCACTAAAGCAACGTCGATCGAATCTTAATTTCTTTACTAAATTCCTAGTAACCCATTGCCTGATATCAATTTAGGCGATATAATCTTCGTGGTAACTCTGTAGTTTAACTTTGATCTTGAATCAAATTCACAAGGCTATAGTATAAAAGTACGAACAGTTCGGCGCAATTATTATTCTGTATGTACATACTATGATATAAATTCGAGGCTTCGTCGGAAAAGTTTATCTTCGTACGACAGTGAACTGTAGGAATACAGTAGGAATACAAGAGGAATGCACCAGGAATACACCAGGAATACAGCAGGAACACGGCAGAAATACAGCAGGAACGCAGTAGGAATATCGAAAAATACTAAAAAAGCAAAAGCGTACGTTCCATGGCTTGCCTGATAATTATGGATCGTACAACCTTAGTTGTAGCCTGTAGCTATGCAACGATTGACTAAAATTACGATAAGATATAAAGCGCAAAAGAAAAGATCTGGTTGACAAAAATGGGATATTCAGTCGGAATAATCAAACAATTTTCTCAACGCTCACAGCTTAATTTACGGTTCCATGAAAACGTTTACTCTCTTTTTGAATGTGAATCGTGTTAATACGAATGGGTCTCTTGGCAAGAAAAAAGCGAAAGACACGTCTGCATGTGCAACAGGACTGCGCTTATTATTAGTTTCATTTAGAACATCGATCGCAGCCCGTACCTACGTGGGTCGAACCCTTTCATACGTTCTATCGACTGACCCTATATGTCTTCCGTGGGTGTCGCGTCGTGTCTCGGACCATCCCGTTGTAATTATACGAGGTTATTTATTAGTCACGGCTATTAGGTATACCGCGATGAGACCATTCCTCTTCAACCGAGTCGTTTATTTTCGAAACGGCGCGTGCAACTTTTCGATCGAATTAAACATTCTTACGATTACAATGAGAAACTCGCGAAGCTATTCGTAACCGCGACGAAACGGTCATTGCCAACGTGGTAAGATACAACTGCTAATAATAACAACGATCGTCCAACTCCAAGACCAAGGAATCGTTTCGTTATTTCGCTATTTTAAAAGACGGTTTAAGACCACGCTTTTCTAATCACGGAGCATGAGCTGTAAAATATCGAAAAAATCGACTCACCACATCGCCTGTACCGATACTGGCTTGAAGATGTGCTGTGAACCGCAGACGCTGACGCTGAAGCCTCTGCAACGGAAAAAGAGAAAAAGAATCAGAACGCGTGTCTTCGGGAAGCATCGAGGGTCACACCATTCACCTTATACAGGATGGTCAGCCGATCGTATCGACGAGCTATTTTATTGCTCGCCGAAGCGGGCCAACTTCTCCGTTCTACGAAACTCGCTGGTTATTTTCGAGCAAGCTCGGTTGGTTACAGGTAACCCTCGTGCTTTGGAAACACGATTTTCCTACACTGTAAAAGTTTCTGAAAATTGCGGATCCACTCGTAAAGTAAGAAATTTTGGACAAAATTGATAGAAGATAAGAAAATCTTCCAGAAAAAAACGTAAGAGCCAAAAGTTATCCCTCGCGTTGTGGTAAAGCTTTCGAGAATAAAATGTATTCCGTTCATAGTACGATAGGATGAAAATATTTCGCAACAAAACGAGAACTATTAACGCAAGAAAAAAAAAAAAAAAAAGAAAAGAAAAAGAAAAAGAAAAGAAGGAAAGAAAGAAGTGGGAAGGTTAGCATCTTAATAAATTCAGACGTCAATTATCTTTCTGCGCTACAGGATTAAATATCGTTAGAATTTCAAATATAAAATTTGCAATTACACGATTATATATAATATCTTTCTTTCTACTAATAAATTCATTCGTTAAACCTGCGAAATGTAACTGTACGCAGCCTTGGTTTCAATTGTTAGCTCTCTGCTATTAATTGCCACTAATTATTAGCCTTATAAAATATAATTCATAACCAATTCGATTCATATACGATCGTTCGTAAAATCGTACACCGCAAAAACGAGTTTTCCAGTTTGGTAAACCACAACATTCAGAGCGCGATAGAAGCCAAATTACACGTTCGAATACTTTCAAGGAGTGGTAACACAGACAAAGAACGTTTTTAGAGTGAAAGGGCTTCTAAAGTTAGCCGTAGGTTGCTGCATGAGTATCCTAAAGCGGCGTACAATTTGCTCGTTACGTAGCTCGCAATGATTATGAAAGATTAACAAAGAGTCAGATATAATTCCGAGGTCACGTATCGTAGATCGAAGCGAGCGTGCAGTATTAAACAACGCACAACGGAACGGATCTCTGTCGCGTAAAAATAACTTTCGTATTAAAGTTGGTGCCATTTGCGGCGAATATCGCGTATCTATTTCTAAAAACGAACCAATGCAACCAACTAAGAACGCGTTGCTTTTCGGATATGCCCGTACTACGTACAATCTAGACTTCTATCTCGCAGAGAAACGGACGACATGCTACGAGATAGAGCGATAAATCGATTAACTCGTCTTCGGATTAAAACCGAGCACGATGAGTCGCACAAAAAAAGATCACCTCTCACTGTCCAAACATAACAACGCACGCTTTTTCACTCGCTTGTACCGTCTACTCCTTCCGATTGCAACTTTAAAATACTGTTTATTGTTACTTTAAAATGATTTCCGTCACGACAGCTCCGAGCCTCGATTTCCAAGTTGTAATCGTGGTCACGCGGTCGAGCAAACTCTCAACTCGAAATTACAACGGTAACGCAATTCCCCTCTTGCATCGCGTTACGACACGCGTTACACACATCCAACATAACCGTTAATTACGCATTATGTAAAGAGCGGAGGGATTCGTGCAAAATCGGTGACCAAGTGAACGTCACGCCGCCGCGTCGCTTTATTCCGACCAGAGGCACAAGTTCTCGACCGACGTTTCCGGGAAACCCATGTCGATTCCGCGATCAGCTTTCCCCGAGGAAACGGTACTGGTTCGTCATTACGGCCACGCACGCCGTTAAGAACGATACACCGAATTAACTTTACGGCTCGACGGGACATTCGTTCTCGATTCGTTTTTATCACTTTGACCACTTTCACCACTTGATGAATGTCAATTGCAAAAAAATTATCGGTCGAAAACGTATCGATAGAAAGACATATTGCTTCGAACGAGGGAGCTACAGGATTAAATATCGTTAGAATTTCAAATATAAAATTTGCAATTACACGATTATATATAATATCTTTCTTTCTACTAATAAATTCATTCGTTAAACCTGCGAAATGTAACTGTACGCAGCCTTGGTTTCAATTGTTAGCTCTCTGCTATTAATTGCCACTAATTATTAGCCTTATAAAATATAATTCATAACCAATTCGATTCATATACGATCGTTCGTAAAATCGTACACCGCAAAAACGAGTTTTCCAGTTTGGTAAACCACAACATTCAGAGCGCGATAGAAGCCAAATTACACGTTCGAATACTTTCAAGGAGTGGTAACACAGACAAAGAACGTTTTTAGAGTGAAAGGGCTTCTAAAGTTAGCCGTAGGTTGCTGCATGAGTATCCTAAAGCGGCGTACAATTTGCTCGTTACGTAGCTCGCAATGATTATGAAAGATTAACAAAGAGTCAGATATAATTCCGAGGTCACGTATCGTAGATCGAAGCGAGCGTGCAGTATTAAACAACGCACAACGGAACGGATCTCTGTCGCGTAAAAATAACTTTCGTATTAAAGTTGGTGCCATTTGCGGCGAATATCGCGTATCTATTTCTAAAAACGAACCAATGCAACCAACTAAGAACGCGTTGCTTTTCGGATATGCCCGTACTACGTACAATCTAGACTTCTATCTCGCAGAGAAACGGACGACATGCTACGAGATAGAGCGATAAATCGATTAACTCGTCTTCGGATTAAAACCGAGCACGATGAGTCGCACAAAAAAAGATCACCTCTCACTGTCCAAACATAACAACGCACGCTTTTTCACTCGCTTGTACCGTCTACTCCTTCCGATTGCAACTTTAAAATACTGTTTATTGTTACTTTAAAATGATTTCCGTCACGACAGCTCCGAGCCTCGATTTCCAAGTTGTAATCGTGGTCACGCGGTCGAGCAAACTCTCAACTCGAAATTACAACGGTAACGCAATTCCCCTCTTGCATCGCGTTACGACACGCGTTACACACATCCAACATAACCGTTAATTACGCATTATGTAAAGAGCGGAGGGATTCGTGCAAAATCGGTGACCAAGTGAACGTCACGCCGCCGCGTCGCTTTATTCCGACCAGAGGCACAAGTTCTCGACCGACGTTTCCGGGAAACCCATGTCGATTCCGCGATCAGCTTTCCCCGAGGAAACGGTACTGGTTCGTCATTACGGCCACGCACGCCGTTAAGAACGATACACCGAATTAACTTTACGGCTCGACGGGACATTCGTTCTCGATTCGTTTTTATCACTTTGACCACTTTCACCACTTGATGAATGTCAATTGCAAAAAAATTATCGGTCGAAAACGTATCGATAGAAAGACATATTGCTTCGAACGAGGGAATGTCAGTCTATGCAGTCGTCTATGCAATGTTAGAGGATATTTGACAACTAACGATAAGTGACGTTTCAACGTAAGCGAATTTTGTTAATATTATAATAGCCAATATTACCAAATATCGTAAGCAATGACTTTTTCATTTTAAACGATAATCTTTTCGAGCGGCAAATCTCGTTGAATCTTATGAATTTTTTGTTTCTTATTCGGCAAGTACTTCGAAACGCAGCCATCAACGCTGTATATTTTTACGAGACTTACTTTACGTTACTTTTGCCGTTTCTTAACTCGTACGATATCTGTTGCGATCGACGTTTTTAAACAAATCTTTCACAATTACCTTTGAAAGTTCGCACACGATACAAGCGATACACGATAATCGCTTAAATTCTTCGACCAACGACCGTTGCCTCGACTAGAAATTAATGGAAAAAGGACTTACCGAGCCACGTGCAATTAAAGGAAGAAAGAAGGAAAAAGACTGCCGCGACGGCCGAGCGTTTATAGAAAAGGGGGAAAGAACGAACGGAGAAACGGAAAAAGATGATACAAAAATGATCCACGACGCAGGAACGCGAGCTGACCAGTACTTGTGCTCATTTTCTTTTCGTTCTCGATCCTTTTCTGGCGAACGGCCGCCTCTTTATCGCTAATTTGCCGCGAATTGCTCGCGTGATTCACTGTCTCAAACCGTTTAGATTCGTTCTTGTGTAGGCGAACCGACTATATAGCATACTCGAGCAAAAGAAACACGGAGCAAACGAGAAGAAATTTGTCATCGTTAGTGGCTTTTGTTTCACCGAATGAACATGCTACGACGATGGTAAATTCCAAACTCCGTACACTTTGATCGTGAACATTTGCTTTTACTCGATTAGTTTTCCAGCGAGTTAATAATTCTGGCTATAATTACATACGTATATAACGATACATATGATAATAGAAAAATTATACAATCATAATTATTAATCGCGATGGGTGTTCTTGTAATCGAAGATTTGTTATGTCCCTTCGGTTCGTTAGTTGGTAATCGAGCGAAGTCGAGAGTGAAGTAGAGTGAGAGTGAAAAATCAAAAAAATACAAAGTCGGAACGATATAAAGATGATCTCGTGCAATTGGAATTCGTTCAAACGTAGTTGCGTTTGGTATGATTTTCGGCAAGAGCATCCTGGCACTTTCAAGATCACGAAACCAACGAACTCTGAAAAATGGCTTGGCGATCGTGGAGCACGACCTTCCATCGTGACCTTGGTGCTCACCTGTCAAGCACCTTGCTGCTCTAACACGGCTTACGGTAACGCGCTCCATTTCCCTACAGCCGACGTACGTACGTATGAGTCTCGTGCAAAAGAGAGCGGTGCTGACCTTCGCGTTCACCTTTCCGCTCCGCGGTAGCTCGAGCGGTGCGTTCGTTTCTCGATCCACGGCCCGATGTACCGTTTCGAGCCGCGGTTTATTCGCCTAATTACCGAGAGTTCGCATACGGCCGCATGCCACGCTAATGACTCACTGCCTGAGCTGAAAGGAACCGGACACTCGTACACGTATCTATACAGTACCGCGCAAAATTCTTCGATCGTTTAACAAAATGATACGTTTTGTCTTTTTACGACTAAATATAAAAATACCTCTGTATGTCGGTATGTCTGTGTTATTGCGTCGACTTAATTGCCAAGTTGAAACGGCAAACGATATCGTTACTACGTGACAGACACGAAAATTAGTAATGGAAAGAACGCGGTTCCTATAAGGTTTTCTAAAAGAATGATCGGTTTCCTCGCCGTTGCAAGAAGGTTATCGCACATGGCCTAAGACTTTTCTACTATACTGCATAAACGGGTACGCACACAAATGCATGAACACGCGTGAGACGAGCGGAGTACGACCGGTTAGAAAGTGGTCGGCTCACCGATCGGATACCTTATTGGCAGATTTTAGCGAGATCGAAAATCTCCGTTACGCATGGCAAGGCAAGCTTTTAATTGCGGGTTAGGCTGGCGCGGCGCAGCGCGGCGCGGCGTCGAGTGATTTGTCCGCGCGCGGCTACGTCGCGTTTTTATTCGACGCGGAATAGGGGAATATCGAGCTGGAGGAGAAAGTACGGAACTATCTGCCGGCTGGAGCAAAAATCTGATAACCTGTAAAATCCGGCGTACTTTCGCCGTGCCTCCAACGAATCGGGAATGAGGGAAACCTACACAAAACCGTGTAGAACAGGCTATACACATACAAAACAGGATAAAATCATATACCGCATGTACTTACTTCTGTAACTAATTGAAAACATTCAGTAGCAATTTCTTTCCGTCATATCGACGTGCCTGTCAATCAACTATCAGATTTAATTTATTCCCAAGAGTTTGTTTTCTTCGTTTCCTATCGTCTAGTTGTCTTACGCATTTCTATCATGCCGATATGTAATGCGCTTTCAAACTTCGATCTATTAAATATCGATGCGATTAAAATATCGTCGAAAAAGACTACTCATTTTGAACTTTGATCGAATAAATTTATTTAAATTTCACGTTGTAATTTATCGTGAAACTTGTGTGTGTGTGTGTGTGTGAGTGTGTGTGTGTGTGTGTGTGATTCGTTTAAACGAAAGCTAGGTAGGAAGAATGTATCGCGATGATTGGACGATAAAGTAGCAAGCAACGGACAGGAAGATAGCAAGAGATACAGGGTTAAATTCGAAAATAGCCAACATACCCGTCGCCGTCGAGAGTAATGGCAGTGTCGGCCAGAACCCGAAGTACAAGACCAACGGTCGCCCTAGCGTGACAATCGATACCAAGAAGGCAGCTCTCCTCCGCATCCTGCCTCCCAGTGCAGGATACTACGACCAGGTATCTCGTCCTTCCTGGATGCACTGACTCCAATTTCACCGCCTGAAATCAGAACGAACGTTACGAACGCCCGATTAAACTTCCGGTCAAGCACACTTCCAACTGAAAAGAACGATCGAACTTTGTCTTTTTATCGTCGATTCTCAAAGATATTTGCTAAAATTTTGTTTCGTATATAATTCATTGGTAGCGAAATTAAATTCCATTGTTAATTCCGTCTTCGTTCGTTTTATCAAGACGTAAATCGGCGAAAAAAAAAAAAAGAAAAAGAAAGAAAGCAAAACAGCAGTAATTTCTATCACCGATAGATATTCGTTTTTAGTCAAGAAAGGTATACTATTTAGATTTATAATTTAACTTCTTTTCCATCTGATAGAGCATGATAGCGTACGGACATGAAACAACACAAACTATAGACAGTATTTTTGCAACATTTAGGCCCAACGAAGAGCAAAGAGGAAACAGAAATAAAAATGTTGAGGGATTCTGATCGGACCTTGTACACTTGACCAGAGATCGCAATCGCAAAGTCGCGTTTCGCGAAACACAAGTTTCCTGCAGGTTAATGACATCGCGAAGTGCGGTTGCACAACCGTAACGTTCCCAACCGTTTCCGCTTCGCCACTGTTTCCTGCTTCTATCGATATCGATATTAAACCCGACGTCTATTACCACTCTCTCTTTCTTTGTACGAGCTACGACTGATAGCGACTATAATTTCGTTGCAACAAGAGAAGAGAAACGGAAAAGTAATAACTGCGTGTCGAGATTTCTAAGAAATTCCTTGGGAACGTGGTATTAGTTACGACGGATCAAATATTATACAGAATAACACGCGTTTGTCGTCTTGATGTTTCCGTTTGGTTAATAAGTTAATTTGTCGTAAACTATACGTACTTGAATCGATAAGTACCGGCGGAATTAATTATAAATCGCAATAATCTTACATTGTATATTGTGATAAACACGACTCTAGACGGAAACTTAATTTTCATTTAAAATGGGTAGAAAAATTGAATTATAATATTTGAAATCAATAGCTTCGGATATTAAGTAAACTGTTACTTATCGAGATATTAAGCAAATGTTTACCTAATATCCGAATAAATTTACCGAGTTAAATCCAAAGACCGGACATAGGAAAACACATAGAATTAACGAATATTTTACTCGGCTCGTTGTCTGAATGGAAATCAAGATCCGAATGAAGAGGAGGCGTTGAAATCTTTTTTCACTTCATAAAACGCATCAGTAAGTGTTCATGAATGGTAAAGCGCATGCATCGCGAACATAATACCGATTTGTCAGTCGATGTTAGCTCTACGCATCCACTATAATCATTTCTATTTAAAAAATTATATCAAATTTACAGTCGACTTACAAACGATATTTCAATTTTTAGAATTTCGTTTCCTACAGCTCTCCTTTTCTTCGTCTTTTTTTTTTAAATAACACGCAGTCTAGGTTACATAACGCGTAAGACCTTTTGGGTCAGTCCATTAATTCGTTCTAATTAAACTAAACGAAGCGACGAAACGTAAAGAATCTCCGGGTACGGTATAACAACCAACAATCCGTAGCACTCTTTTTCTCATGAGCGTATAAATTTCTCGCTCTACGAGCGTTACAGTAATTTGTTTTTATTTCTCCTTCGAACAAGTTCAGCTTGCAATTCGCCAACACGACAGGTGTGTTTACGGTGATAAAATAAAATATTTCGTTCCTATAGTTACCGTAACCGTAACCGAATGTCTCGATTCTATCGCGAAGGTAGTAAATTCAGAATTTAGTGGATAAACGCGCTGATAAATATTGATCGTACGTCGACAGTTTCGCTCGATACTAGGCCCACAAACCTTTTTTGCTTTATTCTATCATTTTTATTTTACCACGCTTCGACCAACATTTTCATAATAATTAGACATACAAGATCGCAGATATACCACGCATAGATAGCAATTTTTAGCAAAAAGAAAGGGAATTATAATCGCCAAATTTGCAATGCAGTTGATTCGGCTTGCTATTTGAAAGAAAACAATACGAGATAGGATCCTGTCGTGTAACAATATAGAATGAACGGTATCGTTGAAAAATTCGACGTTCGATCGCTGTGCAGGTTGCATCTAGAAGTATGGAAAAAGTAAAGTCACTTTCGAGCAAAGCCGAGACAGGTAAGAAACCAGCGCAGCGTCAGGAAATTACGGTAAGAACATCCTGGTAGGATGTTTTGCTTTTTCGTTTTCCTTTTGTTATTCAAGTTACTACGAACCGTAACTGCTTCTGAGAAGCCACGAAACAGTCACTTTTCCTAGTCTTTACGAAGTTTAATAGTCTACATTCCATTATATTATTTCACAACTACAACAAAAGTTATAATTACCATACACCATAAAACAAACTAGATAAAATAAATAGAAACAAAGGAAGTGAAGATTTACGATTCAACGCAATTTACCTGTGCAAATTTGAGAAATGTCTTTTTTCACGAAATTGAGCTTAAAGTGCCGAGAACGTAGGTATACTCCTATTCCTGGTGAAACTACAACGATTAACTGCTTGAAATATCTAATATCTAATTATGCAGATAGCCTGGTATATGTACTTTGTTGCATTATTATATCGTTATATTGCACGAAACGCTATTCTACAAGCGGCAGAAAATAATTAAAATAAAACAACCCGACCGATGTTGTTTCTTTATAACAATGTCCAGCAAACTGTATCCGATAAGCATCTAACCGGATGATTTTGCACGAGAAAGCGAGCAAAGCATAAAAATAAACAAATTGCTCGTTATCGGTGAAATTTTCAAGGAAATATAACTCGCGATACGAAGCTGTTGACTGTACATTTTGTGTGGTGGCGCGTTCAATTGCTGGGACATTGCACTTCCGGGCCCAGTAATTATCCACACTTAACCCTGTTAAACGGTTAATTAGGCAGGCCGCGTCTCCTTATGGGACAACATCAGCAGCCATGCCTATTTCCTTCCGCCATGCGTTTAGCTGCCAAAGTTTTGTAACGCGTGTTTAGCGAATAAAATCGCTCGATAAAGATAATTAACCACCGAGTCTGACTCGACGTTGTCTTTCGTTCCAGCCGCTACACGGCTATCACGGCATCCGGAAATTAACATCGAACGACGATCATACGAGAGTTCGAGTCTAGAAACGTTATCTCGAATTGGATACTCCCGGTTTCATCCGCTATGTTTTTATCCAGTCGAACGGATTAATCCGCGGAGAAGTTTGTTTCCTTCTCTTCGAATCGTATATAGAAAAATATAAAAAAACAATAGAGACAAATCGGCTGTACAATTTTGCATAATTTCGTAAATTATCAAGTTACAGATCCGAAACTACAAGTACACACAGTTTTCCGCTATACAATTTCTCCGCCATGTATTTGACAGAGATCGTGTGGCGACAAGGTGGCACCCAAATGCAGGTAACGCATTCTCGGTGGAAAATACTTTACCGAAGGCGATGGAACGGTACGTTGGCGCCGGAAGAGGTAATGGCCGAGTGTTTCGCAAACACGCACGAGCCCTTTTGTCGCGCGTACCTGAGAGCAAGATATGGAAAAAGGCCAGAACGCGTTCGAGTGGCTGGCAAACGCGACCTTGGATAACTCGTCCCGCGTTCATCTCAACTCGCCCTCTTCAAGGACGTACGCGTGACGAAGAACCGAAGATATTCAGTAGGCAGGAGACGCGAGCAGTGGCCGGCACGCAGCGTGCTTTCGAGTGTCGTCTGAGAGCTCGGCAGAAACGTCTGGAGATGTTATCGTCCTCGTATAACTGCAACTCGTGCTCTGCCCGTATCAAACTCTCCCTCTCGATGTCCGACTGCGCGTCTCTCGCTTTCGACGCTGACCAGCTTTGACGCGACCATCGTCTCTTCCTACTCGCTGCTATACCTTTTCCTTTTTTACGTTCGGGGTCTTGCCAGTTATTACAGTCAAATGACTGCAACTTGCTATGATTCTTAATAAAAACCAGCGAGATATCGTCGTTGCAGCGTTTAAACTAAACAAAACGTCTAATCGTAGAGCAGCTTCGATCGTTTTATCGGGACATTGTTGGCCGATGAACCGTAACAGTCCGTACGAGCGAGTCTCTCGCAATCTCACATCTAGTATCGCAACGTAGACGCGCGTTGTATCCGCTCGGTCTGAGAAAATGCGTTTCAGCTCGTACAGGATAGCAAACTGGGTCGTTGTACCTATGTCATACGATTATGCGCGTGACGAGAAGAAACGCAATCGTGTAACTAGTTCGAGATATCGGTCGCGAAAAGAAACACGAGCCAATGCCCAAAGAGCACGTAAATCGCCACCGAAGCTGATTTCTGCAAAATCGATTCCGAGAATACATCGATCTTCGTTTGGTTAGATAACGGTAGTCGATAAATTACCGAATATACCGGTTGATACCACTGGTTCACAAATTTCGGTTACACTATATTTTTTTTACATACTTCGTTGCATGTACACACGTGTACGTTTGATCGTTTGAAATTTCTTCGCGCAATTTTATTTTTTAATTTAAACAAAGAATAATCGACAAATATCATTCTAGATCGCAAAAATGCCGCGCTAAATACATAGTAGGAACAATTGTAGGAACACTCTGTATAAAAGAAATAGCGTTGTCTAGGATCTGTAATTGAAATATCGTACGCCTTGCTACTAAACACAATTTCACTTTCAATTTCAAGCGCGTCAAGGATTTTGTGCGTCGACTCGAGCAATCCCACCACGCCGTACCTGCCGCTATCTGTGTCTCGCGATCGAAAGAAGGATCTGTTCGAGCTCGAGATGATTCGATTCGACGAAGCCACGAGGATCCCACGAGGATCCCACGAGGATCCCACGAGGATCCCACGAGGATCCCACGAGGATCCCACGAGGATCCCACGAGGATCCCACGAGGATCCCACGAGGATCCCACGAGGATCCCACGAGGATCCCACGAGGATCCCACGAGGATCCCACGAGGATCCCACGAGGATCCCACGAGGATCCCACGAGGATCCCACGAG